GCCATCCTCTCCACCATCAGTGTCCGGGCCCCGGAGGGGAAAACGTCTCTAATCCTCATCCACAGCGGCTCATCCTCTCAGACGCCACGTCTTCTGCCAGGGTCAGAGAATATTACATGTCAAATAAACTTTCTAACAGCTTCTGAGTCTCCCCAGGTTAAATTATGAGTTGGGAATGCCTTTATTTGTCCACAAGACAACTTTTAGTTGGGCACGTGCCAAATCTGTAAATGACAGGAATCCCTATAATAAAGTCTTCTCTTCAGTTTGCCATAATCCATATATATTAGATGAAACAAAGATTAAAATTAATAGCAATAAAATAAAATAATAAATTGCAGGAATAAAAATCTGTTACTTTGTGTTATCTTTAATATGTCATTGTGCAAATTATGTTAATTTTTTCAGTGTACTGTACATTCTTTTCTTATTAGAGACCACTTTCAAACTGCAATATTCAAAAATGCGTTTATGCGAGACACAGAATTGGTTTCAAAAATTAAACGCATTAAATAAAAACCAAAATACAGCCACAAAAATTTAGACCACTGCTTTTAAAGGCGTACTTAAAGCTTCCTTCTGCAAGGCGCTCACAGTGGATGCACTTGTTCATTTTAAAATAAATTATTCTTACTGGGTTTTTTTTTTTCTCCATCAGTTAAGAAAATGTTCTGCAGTTTGGAAATGATTTCCTAGGGGCTACAGATAAAAAAAAAATAAAAAAATGTTTCAACCTCAACAGCATGATCTTTTTGGAAAGACGAGCTGCGTGGTTATTTAGCTTCTCTCTAATGCTGTGCTGCTTTTTCTTCAGATACAGATTTGCTTTACCAATATCTGTATTGACAGCCCTAATATTATTCTTGGCCAATTTATTTCATTGTTCTGATCTTGCAGTTGCTGAATTACCCATGTACGTTTCAGAAAATGTCGAAGTAGTGCGGTGTAATGAATAACAATGCTGTTCTCAGTGTGCAGTCTGAGCTGTTCGCTGCTCTCGTCGACTAGCTCGCATGCCTGCTTCAGTCTTTGATGCTTGCATAAGAAAAAATAAAAAAAGAAAAGGAAGAAAAAACATGAATTTGTTCTGTTTGTGTGCCACAAAAGGTATCTCTTCTGTTTTCACAGGATGATCCAGACTCCTCATTTTCCTTTCAGCTGTTGGTGAGAACAACTGTTCCTCTGTGTCGAGCAAATGGTAATAAGTTTGTGTCTTAAAATTGAATATTGTAAACAAGTTGCAGAGCCAGAGTAACAACACACTTATGCTGTGTTGCCTCAGTTGTACCAATTTAAACCAAAGGGATTTTTATATTTGTACAAATAGCAAACGCTGAGGGAGACAGCACAAATATCCTTCGCAAAGCCCTTAGCCAGGGGGCAAATTTTGTGTTAAACAGTTTTAAAACGCTTATGGCACAGTGCATGTGATAATACCTCATATTATATCCCCGATTACTGTTTCTCACCAGATCTTCTTACTTCCCCCCCCCCTCCTTTCTGCCTGCCTCGCCTGCGGGCTCCATCATTCCTTCAGATTCTATCTAATCATGCTCCAACAACAGCCAGGAGCAAAAGCAAGTAAGTCAGTTTTTGTTATGATTTCCAAAATTAAAGCTGGACATGAATATTTCCTAACAATGGATGCTCACAGCCTGCTATACGACAGTACATGCATATATTTGTC